CCGTCAGTAAGGCGGGGTCCTCCTCCCATCCTAGCTCAGATGGGGCCCACAGGGGCGTTGACCCCCAAATCCTCTCCAGGTATACTCCAAGTATCCTGCCTTCTGGCCTTCTCTGCCTCTTACTGTCTCAATTTTGATTTAACAGTGATCCAGGATGGACCAAAACATTATCTTAATGTTCCTCTCTTAAGTGCAGGTTATCGGTGAATTGTTCCAACCACAGTATTGTGACTTTTTATTCTTAAAATCTGGAAAAGAAGTGAAAAAATATTAGATTCCATTTGTTTCAATTTGCTGTTAAGCACAGCGACTTTGACTAGAAGTGCCAGTGGAATCATTCAACTGCTATGAGTGGTGGTGATATTTGTTCATAGGTTGTATGTAAACAAACAAACAAGTATCTGTCATAATATCTCAAAATAGATGTACTTAATCAGAGTGCTTTGCATAACATAATTTATTTCCATTATCAGAGTGGATCCCTGACCAGCCACCATATCAGTACCTTGGAAGGGGAGATGTGCAATCTTTGGCTGCCTTACGACATGATGCTGTCTCACTTGTTGTTTCCCCTTTGACATCCATGATCGCATTTTGACTCAACTCTTGGATGCTGGGATGGAAATGTTGTATCAAAGGTGATAAAACATAATTATTTTTGTTCGGGTCTAATAAATCTTTCTTGCTTTTACTTTAAACATTTGGTGTATGTAAACTTACATTTTGATTCTAAAGAAAAAATTTGAAGATTTAATAAACATACTATTGTAATTGTGCTGAAAATGTCTTATATATGACATTGTTTTCAGAATGTTTGATGAAGCCCAGAAGAGTCCTTTGAACCAGACAGATGTTCCTGAAGCTTACTACAAGTACTTGAGGCCACTCATGAAAGCAAACCTTTAGAATTGCCTAAACACATACTCTATGATTTTTTTTCAGAGTAATTAAAGAAAATAGTAGTATTATTATAATAGTATGCAGGTAATTTTATGTATGTTTTGGTAGTAAGTAGTAATATATGTATAAGCATGATAGCACTGATGCTGTAAGCTGTTTTATTTGTTATTAATACGTATTACATGCAATGTGCATTCAAGTTACTTGTTCTTGTTACTCGTTTTTTTTTCATTTAGGGGTGACATTTTCTAAAAAGATATTGAAGTGAAAGGTCATTTCTTTGCTTTTAGGCAAAAGTTCATCTGATTAAGGTACAGGAATACTTCATTGTAAAAAAGGTTATGACCGTGTTATACATACATACATACATACATACACCATTTTTATTAAATTTAAAAAAAATATTCCTTGAGGTGAAACTGGTGAACTAAACCTCATTTATAAAATAAAGTTTCAGTTATAATGTAATAATGAAAATTAAATTTTAAAAATGTTAATCTTTCAAGATGTAAAGTAAATTTTGTCTTAATTAGTACTAATCCTGTTTAAACCAAATTGTTTACTTTGTATGTGGTGTTTTTTGCAGGGTTTTTCATCACTAAAAGTTTGCAACAGAGTAAGACTAAAAGTTATCTAATAACAAATCTTTTAGGAGTAGAACTACTTTTTTTTCTTTATAGGTCTGTAGTCTGTATACATTGATCTACTATATTACTTTTTTATAAATATTTTTGTTGTTTTTGGTAAAGATTTATGCTATTTTTAATGTAAACCTCTGAAAAAAACAGTGCTTAAATTTTTTTTAAATACAAATATTGCACTGAGTAAACTATCAAAAATGAACAGCAAGCAAAAGGGGAGTTCCCACAAAGGCCATCAGATTAATTCTGATGAGGACACTTGAGCACAACAGAAAGATCTAGATAGGTTGATGCAGTAATTGAGAAGTGCGGGTGCAGTTTAATGTCGACAAATCTAAGGTTCTAAGCCCTGGGAAGAGAGAATTACCATGGCACTTAAAAATTTAATAATGTAGATCTCACTCACTCTGTTAAAAAAAAAAAAGATTAAGGAGTTCTGGTTAGAAGTTAATTCAAGCCAAGAGAATAGTGCATAAGTGTTCATAGTAAAGCTAATAGAATTCTTGGCTTCATATCAAGAAGTACAAAAATAGGAGTCCTCAGATCATACTTTGAATTTATATATTTGTAAAGTAGTTAGGTGCCATTTAGATTTTGCATGCAGTTTTACTCACTGTATTACAGAATGGACATAAATGCACTGGAAAAACATACAGAGAAAGGTGACAAAATTGATATCATGGGATCAAAATCTTTCCTACGAGGACAGACTGAGGGGACTGAATCTGCACTCTGGAAAGGCATAGAATTAGGATGATATGATTGAGGTGCAAAATGGAAGACAGGAATAAATAAAAGGGGATAAAAATAATATGGTAAAAATATTTACTCAAGACAGGGTTCACATCAGTGGATTCAAGTTTTAAAAAAATTAGAATTAAAAAGATACAGGAAAGCAGTGGTTTGGTAATCGAGTTGTGGATAGATGGAACAACTGCTGAGTAGCGCATTGAAGTGAAAAACCTTGTGTAGCTTTAAAAATAGGTTAACACAAGTAAATTAGGGGAGTGTGAGTTGAGCTTGCCTAGAATGAGCCAGTAGGCCTGCTGCAGTGCTCCTCCTCTTTTATGTTCTTGTGTATCAGAGGTTAAAAAAAGACAAGAGGGAGTTTTCACCAAGGTATCTATCTGAGCTGAGGGAAAAGACAGGAGGGAGTTTTTCCATTAAAGTATATAAGTGAACAGTAGACCATGGGGAGTTTCCACAAAGGCATCAGAGGTAGCCAACAGGAGGGAATTTCCACTAAGGTATTGGAGGTGAACAGCAGACAGGGGGGAGTTTTTCCCAAAAGGTATCAGAAGGGGAACAGCAGACAGGAGGGAGTTTTTCACTCAGGTACCAAGGTGAACAGCAAAAATAATGTGTACCGAAATAATAACCTCAAACATGAGTGAATGCAAATAAGAATAAAACACTTAAGAATTTGAAAGAGGGTTTAGAGAGTTCACATTTCCAGAGGTATAAAATACTGGTGAGTGTCAGTATTACATAGCTGAATGCATTATCCTTTTATGTGCTTGTTGTTTAGTTCGTGTCTGGGGGAACCTAATTACAGTGGACCCCTGAATTTTGTGATTAATCCGTTCCAGAGAGCCTGCCGAAGTCGAAATTCATGAAAAATTTAAACCATTTTCCCCATAAGAAATTATGGAAATAAAACGTCCAGAAACCCAAAAATATTAAAATAAAAATATTTTTTTTCAAATTACATAAAGATTTATATTTCTGAAATCAATGAGAAATCAAGTACATACATATAAAAAATAAAAATAACATTACACTTACCTTTACTGATTTACTTCGGGTGGATGGAAGACAGGGGGAGGGGATAGGAGGAAGGTTGTACACTATTGTTTGGAAGGAGAATCTCCTTCCATTAGGACTTAGGTAGCAAGTCCTTATCTGGGGTTACTTCCCTTCTTTTTTAATGCCACCAGGAACAACTTTAGAGTCACTGGAAACCCCCGTCGCACAAAATATCTCTCCAGGGAGGTCGTTTTCTGGCGTTTCTTAAGATTTTCCTGAAGTGGGACACAACACTGTCATTGTACAATGTTGCAGATATGGCTTGTTTCAGCTTGGTCAGGGTGATACTTTTCAACAAAACTTTGCAACTCATTCCACTTGGGCACAAATCTCTTAATCTTAGAAGAAGGCACCTCATCCACTCCCTCTTCCTCTTCCTCGAAGCAAGTTCCTGGGCTGTGGTCTGATGCTGTTCCAGTTGAAGCTCTTGCAGTTCGCCAGTGGTTAGCTCTTCCCCCTTGGTCCTCCACCAACTCTTCCACATCCCCGTTACTCACCCTCCAACCCCATGGCTTGCCCATTGCCACAACACCTTCCACAACAGGCAGGGGGTCGGCAGGGACAGGGTCTGCCTCAAACCCTTCAAAATCCCTCTGGATCGTGTTCCTCACTTTATTTACCAAAGGGCTTGCACTAGCTTTCCTTGGGTCCATGATGACTTATTTAGCAGTTGCAAGCACAAAAAACAATGGATTATTATGAAATGTATTGTATGAACCCGCGGGGTGATGGTCACGTGTTGGTAAACAATGGTACACTGAGCGTGAATGGCGTGGGAGACTGGCTTGGTGTGCGCAGTGACGGGCGGACGGGTACCGGACGGTCGCCGAAACACGAGTCTAATCATGAAAATCGAGGCCAAATTTTGCCAAAAAAAACTCGCCGAAGGTCGAATTTAAAAAAAGTCGAGGCTGCCGAAACTCAGGGGTTCACTGTATTATATTTATGGAGAATTGCAAGGCCATAGGGATTATGCAGCTCCTGGGGAATGAGAGAAGGGCTCTTGATCCAAGAGCCCTTCACCAGCATTTAAACACCTCCTTTGAGAGGGATATCAGTGGACCATTTAGTGTGATGCCAGTTAATATAAAAATCACTCGATCACTATTAAGGAATAGGCATAAACTTCCATTATTCACACCTTTCTTAAAACACGTTTGGCAGTAACATTGCTATGCACAAATACGGTTATAGAACACAACTAAATAATGCCATTTTCCAAAGTTAGACTTGTGTATATACGGTTGTGATGTAAACATTTTTCTAAGTACAGTATGGCCCTGCTTTACATTGTTTTGCTGTACGTCATTCGGCTGCCGCTCCCCCCCCCCCCCCCCCCCGGGACTCACTAATGTGGCCTTTGCATGCTACTGTTTGTTTACATCCTCCCTGAGCTCCTTGTCTCTCCATTATGTCTGGAAACTTTCCAGAATTTCAAGTGTTTTAAAGTTATTTCGTATTATATGTATATTATATTATATTATATTATTATATTATACGTAGAATGAAAGGGGGTAAAGCAGCTGGAACTGATGGGATCATGACAAATGTTAAAAGCAGGGGGGAATATAGTGTTGGAGTGGTTGGTACTTTTGTTTAATAAATGTATGAAAGAGGGGAAGGTACCTAGGGATTGGCGGAGAGCATGTATAGTCCCTTTATATAAAGGGAAAGGGGACAAAAGAGATTGTAAAAATTATAGAGGAATAAGTTTATTGAGTATACCAGGAAAGTGTATGGTAGGGTTGTAATTGAAAGAATTAGAGGTAAGACAGAATGTAGGATTGCGGTTTACAAAGGGGGTTTCAGAGTGGGTAGGGGATGTGTAGATCAAGTGTTTTACATTGAAGCATATATGTGAACAGTATTTAGATAAAGGTAGGGAAGTTTTTATTGCATTTATGGATTTAGAAAAGGCATTGATAGAGTGGATAGGGAGCAATGTGGCATATGTTGCAAGTATATGGAATAGGTGGTAATTACTAAATGCTGTAAAGAGTTTTTATGAGGATAGTGAGGCTCAGGTTGGGTGTGTAGAAAGAGGGAGACTACTCCCGGTAAAAGTAGGTCTTAGACAAGGATGTGTAATGTCACCATGGTTTTTAATATATTTATAGATGGGGTTGTAAAAGAAAGTAAATGCTAGGGTGTTTCGGGAGGGGGTGGGATTAAAATTATTGGGGAATCAAATTCAAAATGGAATTAACACATTTTACTTTTTGCTGATGAAACTGTGCTTATGGGAGATTCTAAAGAAAAATTGCAAAGGTTAGTGGATGAGTTGGAAATGTGTGTAAAGGTAGAAAGTTGAAAGTGAACATAGAAAAGAGTAAGGCGATGAAGGTATCAAATGTTTTAGATAAAAAAAAAATTGGATATCAAATTGGGGAGGAGGATAGGGAAGAAGTAAATGTTTTCAGATACTTGGGAGTTGACGTGTCGGCAGATGGTTTTATGAAGGATGAGGTTAATCATAGAATTGATGGGGGAAAAAAGGTGAGTGGTGCATTGAGGTATATGTGGAGCAAAAAACGTTATCAAAGGAGGCAAAGAAGGAATGTATGAAAGTATAGTAGTACCAACACTCTTATATGGGTGTGAAGCTTGGGGGGTAAATGCAGCAGTGAGGAGACGGTGGAGGCAGTGGAGATGTCCTGTCTAAGGGCAATGTTGGGTGTAAAAATTATGCAGAAAATTCAGAGTGTGGAAATTAGGAAAAGGTGTGGGAGTTAATAAAAGCATTAGCCCAGAGGGCAGAAGAGGGGTTTTTGAGGTGGTTTGGTTCATTTAGAGAGAATGGATCAAAGAGAATGACATGGAAAGGATATAAATCTATGGGGGAAAGGGGAAGGGCGAGTAGGGGTCCGTCCTCAAAAAGGGTTGGAGAGAGGGGGAAAAAAGGACGTTTTGTGGGCAAGGGGCTTGGACTTCCAGCAAGCGTGCGTGAGCATGTTAGATAGGAGTGAATGGAGACGAATGGAAACTTGGGACCTGACGATCTGTTGGAGTGTGAGCAGGTAATATTTAGTGAAGGATTCAGGGAAAACCGGTTATTTTCATATAGTCGGACTTGAGTCCTGGAAATGGGAAGTACAATGCCTGCACTTTAAAGGAGGGGTTTGGGATATTGGCAGTTTCGAGGGATATGTTGTGTATCTTTATACGTATATGCTTCTAAACTGTTGTATTCTGAGCACCTGTGCAAAAACAGTGATTATGTGTGATTGTGGTGAAAGTGTTGAATGATGATGAAAGCATTTTCTTTTTGGGGATTTTCTTTCTTTTTTGGGTCGCCCTGCCTCGGTGGGAGACTGCCAACTTGTTGAAAAGAAAAAAAAATATATATTTTTTTTAACACATCAGTCATTTCCCACCGAGGCAGGATGACCCAAAAAGATAGAGAAAATTTTCATTATCAGTCAACACTTTCACCATCACTCATACATTATCACTGTCTTTGCAGAGGTGCCCAGTTATGACAGTTTAGATAGTCACTCCAAACTGCCAATATCTCAAACCCCTCCTTTAAAGTGTAGGCATTGTATTTCCCATTTCCAGGACTCAAGTCTGGCTAACCGGTTTCCCTGAATCCCTTCACAAAATATTACCCTGCTCACACTCTAACAGCTCATCAGGTTCCAAAAACCATTTGTCTTCATTAACTCCTATTTAACATGCTCACGTATGCTTGCTGGAAATCCAAGCCCCTTGCCCACAAAACCACCTTGACCCCATCCCTTCAACCTCTTCGAGGACGACCCCTACCCCGCCTTCCTTACCCTACAGATTTATTCATTCTACAAGTTATTCTACTTTGTTCCATTCTCTCTAAATGACCAAACCATCTCAACAACCCCTCTTCAGTCCTCTAATACTTTTAGGAACTCCACACCTCCTCCTAATTTCCACACTACAAATTCTCTGCATAATATTTACACCACAGGACATCTCCACTGCCTCCAGCTGCTGCCTTGCTGCAGCATTTACAACCCAAGCTTCCCACCCATATAAGAGTGTTGGTACCACTATACTTTCGTACATTCCCTTCTTTGCCTCTATGGATAACAAATAACAAAAAAAGGCACAATACCGTTGTCGTAAGCTCCTCATTTCTCTATGGATATTACGTGTTTTCTTATTAATTTCAAACAATCCCCAGATACCTTATATAATCTATAATGTGAATCACTTGTGTTATTTAAAGTAAAAAATCTCTGATAATATGTCTAATATGTGATACACTGATGAATATGGGTTTTAAGAAGTAGGTACACACGTAGGAACAGTGATGTAACTGGGCGAGGATGTATACACCAAGAGGTGTACATATGTTTTAATACTATTTTAGTAATAATAATAATAATAATATCATCATTATTTCTACATTATTTCTAACTAACATCAGTGTCATACTGCTGTATAGAAAGCTGCTAGTTATGCAAAGCATTTCGGGCAAATTAGGTCAGTTCTATCCTGGGATGCGACCCACACCAGTCGACTAACACCCAGGTACCAGGTACCCATATCACTGATGGGTGAACATAGACATTTGGTGTAAGGAGAAATGCCCAATGTTTCAACCCTTGCCAGGAATTGAACACAGACCTCTCACCATGTGAAGCGAGAGCTTTTGCCACCAGGCCACGGGCCAGAGATTTAAAAAATTCTTAGTCTACTGGTGAACAGGTTTTATGTGGTCTTAATGACCCTTGTATAGTCAAGGGGTTTTAAATCTAATTAAGAAATCATTAGTACAGGTCAACCATCACTAATCTGGCAATCAGTAATCCAGTTCCATCAGTAATCCGGCACTTATTTCAGCTAGCATAATTCCAAATTTCCGGGGTCATTGCACCAACCTTCCACTACTGTTTGGTGGCAATACTTACTGCATAAGTCATTCCAATTTGTTTTTCTTCATTTATTGTTATACCCTCCTCACTTTTAGCCCTAGCCATGGTTCCAACCAATAAAAGAAATGCTTCTCGTTGTGTAAAGCACAAACACCATGCATTGTCCATAAAAGATAAGGTGGCTTTGAAGCCACTGTCAGTCGCCATGAGCTCAGCTCACTCGCATAAGCTGTGACTGGTAAATTTAGGCCTACATATGAGAGAATAGGTCTGTGTGATAAGTGTGCACAATATAAAAAAAAAAATCCCACAGCACGCAGTGCATAATGAGAAGAAAACTGTAATCTGTGGTGTATTTTTGTATGGATTTTGTGGTTGTATTTTCGTTTTTATGATCTCAGTTGATAGAATGAAAGATATACTAAAGAAATATATATGATTTTGATTGTTTTTACAACAAAGTACCTTGAAATTGAGGAGCTCAAAGTAGTGGAAATGTTCGATTTTTGCCGATGTTCAAGAGTAAACAAATGATGTCACCATCCAGTGTGTGTCCAACTGGCCAGTCTGATATGCAGTCATGAATGGGTTGACATTATTTATAAAATTATTCCAATAATGTAGTAGTCTGCATAACAGTAAATATATTTTTTGTGTGAATAAAAATTCAAAATGGAAAGCAAGTGTAATATAAGAGGGGCCTGGAGCCATGATTAATGAACATAAAAAATGTTATTTTAGTGCCAGGAATATCTGCATTGTTTATTCAGGACCCAAATTTGAAATTGGCATCTCTTGAAATTTGTGTGAAATTGGCCAAATTACCAATTTCTGACCACTTTATTGGGTAGTTGAAATAGGTAAATCGGTGGTTTCTTGTACTCGGTCAACAGAATAGAAGGCATACTAGTGAAATAGCTATGAGTTTGGTAGAGTGGGACAAATAGGGAGTAAAGTGGGTGAAATCGCCGATGCGTAAATATCGCCATTGGGTTAGGTGTATTCTCACTTACTCTGTAATCTTGAAAAACACTAATCTGGCACCCTACAGGTCCTGATGATGTCGGAATAGTGATGGTCAACCTGTATCTAGGATTTTCATGAAAAGGGGGCCAGGCAGGCACAGCAAGCCCTTAAAGATTGGGGTTAAGGGCTCTCCCAGAGGAATGCTTTTAAATTTAACCTATTTTAGATCACTTTGAAACTATATGAAATGGGCATTACAACATATCCTAAGGTCA